GTCTCACTTTGCTCTCTTTACCGTTTACACCAAATTTTTTTTTTTTTTTTTTTTTTTTTTTTTTTTTTTGAGATGGAAGTCTCGCTCTCATCGCCCCCAGGCTGGCAGTGCTAGTGGCCGGCCTCTCGCTCTGCCAACGCTCCGCCTGCCCCGGGTTTACGCCATTCTCTCGTCTCAGCCTGCCGAGTAGGGCTGGGATTACACAGGCGCCCGCCACCTCGCCCGGCTAGTTTTTTGTATTTTTTAGTAGAGACGGGGTTTCACCGTGTTAGCCAGGATGGTCTCGATCTCCTGACATTGTGATCCACCCGTCTCGGCCTCCCAAAGTGCTGGGATTATAGGCTTGAGCCACCGCGCCCGGCCAATATTTTTATTTTTTGTAGAGACAAGGTCTTGCAATGTTGCTCACACTGGTCTCAAACTCCTGGGCTCAAATGATCCTCCCACCTCAGCCTCCCAGGCATGAGCCGCCATGTCCATCTTTAACCTCTTTTCCTGAAATAGTGGAACCTTACTGTGAAGTATGCTACCTATGAGCCAGAGTGTGAAAAATGCTATTGTGATAAAAGTAACAATGTGCAGACAGATCTTTCAGTACTTTTTTTTTTTGAGACAGAGTCTTACTCTGTCGCCCAGGCTGGAGTGCAGTGGGACGATCCCCATTCACTGTGACCTCTGCCTCCTGGGTTCAGGCGATTCTCATGCCTCAGCTTCTCAAGTAGCTGGGATTATAGGCACCCGCCACCATGCCCGGCTAATTTTTGTATTTTTAGTAGAGATGGGGTTTTACCATGTTGCTCAGGCTGGTCTTGAACTCCCGACCTCAAATGATCCGCCTGCCTCAGCCTCCCAAAGTGCTCGGATTACAGGCGTGAGCCACTGTGCCCAGCCGTGGATTTATTTTTAATTGACACATACTTATACACATTTATTGGAGACAATGTGATATTTTGGTTCATGCATACAATGTGTAGTGATCAAATCAGGGTAATTGGCATATCCATCAGTGAGGTAAGGAGTTTTTAATCCCTGGAATTGGGTAGAGCTTTCCTTTTGGTAGGCAGGATTTGAACTGGGTGTGAGATTTGTTGTTGCTGTAGTTACATCAGACTTCAGATTCCTCTGGTGTTAGCCTGTATTTAGGTTGGGGGCTAGTTTGTTAGTTTTTTCAGGATCTGTTCTCTCAGCTGTAGGTCTTCACTTTCCTCTACACCTCAGAGAGAGCCTTTCTTGTTGTTCTTGCCACTTGTAGCAGTAGACAGCTGTCCCTTGTCAGAGGGATAGGGTGGTGGGCAGGGCCTGTCTTTGTTCTGGTTCACCCTGGTTCTTAGGCAGGCACTGCATCCTGGGTCTTGGTAGGATCTGTTTGTGATCCTGCCTCACCCCAGTGTAGATCTGGGCCCAGGACATAATTCCTGCTCCCCCTCCTAGGGTACTAGGGTTTGTTTTTGTTTTTTCTCCCCTATTTCTTCTCTAGCTGCTGTGGGTTCCACCAGTGTTCTAAGGCTGCAGCGTTTGTTCCTCTTCTCCCTGTAGTCCTGCCTTCAGGCCTTCCCGCTGTTTTTGTGAGCCTCTGGAGAAGAGCTTATTTTCTTTCTGTTGCAGCCTCCAGAAATTCTGTATTCTCTTGGCAGCTCACACTGGCCTGTAAACAATTTTAAAATAATTCTAGCTTAGTTGTTACTATTGGTATTGCCTTTTGTCAATCCTTGGAGGTTGGTTTTTTCCTTAGATTTCAAGTTACTTGGTTGTTGCCCTGTGATCTGAGCTCTCTGATGGATTCAAGGAAGTTGTAGGCTGGGCATGGTGGCTCACGCCTATGATCCCAGCACTTTAGTAGTTTGAGGTGAGGAATCTCTTGAGGCCAGGAGTTTCAGACCAGCGTGGGCAACATAGCGAGACCCCATCTCTACAAAAAAATTTTTAAAAAATTAGCTGGGTGTGGTGGTACCCACCTGTAGTCCCAGCTACTTGGAAGGCCAAGGTGGGAGGACTGCTTGAGCCCAGGAGTTTGAGGCTGCAGCAAGCTGTGATCATACCACTGCACTCTAGCCTGGGAGACAGAGCAAGAATCTGTCTCAAAAACAACAAAAATGTTGTGAATTTGCGCACTTTCCAGTGTTTTGTTGTTGTCACAGTGGGGGTGATAGTTCCCACCCTTGTGTGTCCTGTTTGGAAGATGGGAATCTGAATTCCTTTTTATATTGGGCTCTTAAAAAAAAGAACCCGGGTTCAGAATGGACTGTTGTTCCCTGTCACATGCACTCAGCATTTTCAGGAGCTTCATCAGGGACCCTCCAGACACTTTTGATCCCTGGGAGGTTATATAGCTGGATAAACTGATTCATGTTTTTATAGCATAGGGCCCACAGACTGCAGGCCTTCAGGACTGGCTCTTCTCTGACATAGTTGGCTCTGATGTCCCGGGCACCATGGTGGTCCCTTGGATTCTCCTAAGAGATGATGTAAAACTTCATTCATAGACTGGGTGTTGTCTTTGAAGGCTGTTGACAGTGCTTTCCTAGCATGGTATCAGGAACCAGGGGTTTCTGGACTTTATACTGGATTCTGACTGAAGTTTCTGGGTACCATATTGGTGTCTTAACTTTGTAAATTGCATTTTTAGGAATTATAAAACAAGACCCTAAACTACCAGTGGATAAAATCTTACCCCCACCATCTCCCTGGCCCAAGAGCTCCATCTTCGATGCTGATGAAGAAAAGTCCAAGGTAAGGAACCAGACCTACATGGTGTCTGATCAGACCTTTTCCCTTAGGGACTGTAAATGTCCTTTGATGCTTGAATCAGATTGTGAAGGGGGGCAGGTTACGTGGATTCTCCTGTCCAGACAGGCCCTTAGGAGTGAGGTAGCAGAAGATTTGGGTGCATTCTTTACAGATAAGCTGACTAAAAAGGTGCTGGGCTCTTTGTGCCTTCTCCCTTTTCTGCACAGCTTTCGTTGGGGAAAGAAGGTGCAGAAGGCTAGCTCATGGGAAGTGTGGGTGATGGGTCATGTCCTCTATGGGTGTGGTATTGGGGTGGGGACGGTGGAAGGACTTGCTGCTGTGTGTTGGTTCAGCTCTTTCTCAGTGCCAGTGAGCCTGGCCCTATCCATTTTTCATCCACTATGAACTCCCCAAATCATTGTTCCTTGGACATCAGTATCTAGAGGAACAAGAAGAGTAAGGTGGCCAAGACCCAGGGATAACTCTGTGATGCCTGTGAGTGGGAAACCCTTTGGCCTAGTGCTGGCAGTGTTTTTGGTCATGACTGTTCTTGGTCAGTCACAGGTCTAGTTCATGGAGTGTCAGAAGGCTACACGCTATGTACTCATTTCTGTGTGGTATGGTCTGCCTACCAACGGCACCCCATCCCTGTACCCACTCCTTGGGCCTAGATACTCTGTGGCCATCAGGTCTCTGTTGTTAGAATGAGCAAGACTAGTCTAGACTCCGGGCCGCCTTTCTCCCTGGCTTTCCTCCTGCTTGGTGCCTTGGGTTTGCAGAGGGTGGGAGGAGCTAGGAAGGAGGTATGGTGTGACTTCTGAGAAAGAATCCTGTGTTACTAGCCCTCATTTTCCCCACTTTTCCTGCCATCCGTTCCATGAAGATTGAGTGACTTCTCTGTGCCAGGCATCCTTCTAGGCATTGGAAATGAAGGGATGAACAAGATCACCAGGGTCTGTCGCATCGTAAAGCACATGGTCCAGGGCAACTGCACACCTAGCACCCTTTTGGGCCAGAGAATTCCCTGTCGCTGGGGACTGTCCTGTGCACTGTAGGATGTTCACAGCATTCCTGACTCTACCCACAAGCTACCAGTAGCACCCCCTCTCTAGTTGTGACAACCAAATTTCTCCAGACTTGGCCAGACATCCCCTGGGAGAAGTAATCCCCCACGTCCCCCTTTCCTACTGAAAACCAGTGGTGGGCTGGGCACAGCGTCTCATGCCTGTAATCCCAGCACTTTGGAAGGCCGAGGCAGGCGGATCACGAGGTCAAGAGATTGAGACCACCCTGGCCAACGTGGTGAAACCCGTCTCTACTAAAAACACAAAAATTAGCTGGGCATGGTGGCACGCGCCTGTAGTCCCAGCTACTTGGAAGGCTGAGGCAGGAGAATGGTGTCAACCTGGGAGGCAGAGGTTGCAGTGAGCCAAGATCACGCCACTCCACTCCAGCCTGACAACAGAGCAAGGCCCGGTCTCAAAAAAAAAAAAAAAAAAAAAACAGTGGTGTATTGGGATAGTCAGAGTGCCTGCATCATAGTGTCCTTGGGACCATTTGGTGAGACAGTGCATGTAAAATGTGTGCGCTGTTGTTAGTGTTAACTCTTCTGTAGCTGCTGCTTCTGCTCTGGTCCTGAGGGAGTTGTGGTCTCACCTACTCTTCCTGTTCACTCTCTCCAGCTTCTGACAAGGCTTCTAAAGAGCAACCACCCTGAGGACCTTCAGGCCGCAAACCGGTTAATCAAGAATTTGGTCAAGGAGGTGGGCATTCTTCCAGTTGGTTCAGTAGAAGCAGCATTTGACAGAGGCTGAAGGACAGTGCGCATGAGCCTGTGCTTGAGGGGTAGAGGAATGGTTGCCTGGGAGAAAGAGTGGCTCCTAGCCCTGAACTCTGGGGAACAGCCATAGGCTCCCTCGAGGGCAGCAAGGTGGTGATTGGAAGCAGAAACCCTGCTGCTGCCGTACTTCTCAGCTGCTTTCATCCATGCTGCTCAAAGCATTTCCTAGACACCAACTTCGGTCCCAGCAACAGGTATTGGTATGGACAAAGTCCAGGTTTAGAAAACTGCTTTTCAAAGGGCTTGAGGCTGGTGGCACAGAGGCAGAGGTCACGGTCACCATTCCCCAAACTGCAGTTTCCTCCCCAGGAATTCTGGGCTTTTGAGTATTTTTTCATCCACTGTGTCAGCTCTCCCATGCACTTAACATCCTGGTGACTCCCCTGAGTGAGCTCTCTCAATAGTGACTCTTTCCCATCCCTTGTTCAGGCTTCAGCCAGAGTTTCTGCTCCTTCACTCCCATCCTCTTCTTTTTCCCAAAAGGAACAAGAAAAATCGGAGAAGGTGTCCAAGAGGGTCAGTGCGGTGGAGGAAGTGCGAAGCCATGTGAAGGTACTGCAGGAGATGCTGAGCATGTACCGCAGGCCAGGGCAGGCCCTGCCCGACCAGGAGGCCCTGCAGGTAATCTTCAGGTGTAACACAGGGGGCTGCACGTGTTTACTAAAGTGAGTTCGCAGTGCTTTCACCTGTATGCACCCATGAAGCCATCTCAGAGTCAAGATGGTAAACATATCTGACACCTCCCCAGATGTCCTTGTGCTGCTTTGTTCTCCTTTCCTGTCTCCCCTACTCTGCAATCCCCGGGCAGCTACTGATTTGCTTTCTGTTCTGATTTGCTGACAACTCCCAGACTCTTGTATAAATGGAATGATGCAGTACATAACCCTCTATTTTTACCTGGCTTCTCAATCTCACTCTAGATCCATCCCATTGCTGTGTGTAGCAGTAGCTTGTTTCTTCTTACTGCCAGGTACTATCCCATCACCTGGATGTACCACAGCGTGTAACTATTGATGGGCCTTGCGTTGTTTCCATCTTTGGGTGATTATGAATCACGCTGCTATAAACAGTTGTGTACACGGGATTTTGTGTGAACATCTATTTTCATTTCTTGTGGGTAAATGTCTGGAATTACTAGGTCATATGCTAAGTATATATTTAACTTGTTAGGAAACAAAGTGGCTAAGCTATCTTCCAGGGTAATTGCACCATTTTACAATCCTAACAGCAGCATATGCAAGTTCTAGCTCCTCCACATCTTGAGATCTTAATTTTTATATAGCATCTTTATTGAGATAAAAATTAACATACCATAAAAGCAAACATCATATCTACCTAGTTATAGAATATCTTAATCACCCCTAAAAGAATCCTTGTACCCATTAACAGTCATTCCGCCTTTCCCAAACTCCCCTTTCCCCAGTCCTTGGCAACCACTAATCCACTTTCTGTCTCTCTGGATTTGCCTATTTGGATCCTTTGTCCAAGTGCGGTTACACAATACGTGGGCTTTTGTGTCTGGCTTCCTTTACGTAGCCTAATGCTTGCAGGTGCATCCATCTGGTAACTTGTGTCACTGCTCCATTTCTGTTCATGCCCGAATAGTGTTCCATTGTTTGGCTATGCCACATTTTGTTTCTCCATTTATCAGCTGATGGGCATTTGGTTTGTTCCTACTTTTTGGCTATTATGAATGATGCCTTTGAATTATTCATTACGATTAATGACTTTGAACTTTGTCTAAGTTTTTATGTGAACATAGGTTTTAAATTCTCTTGGGTATATACCTAGAAATGGAATTGCTGGATCTTGGGGTAACTCCATATTTAACATTTTGAGAAACTGCCAAACTGTTTTCCAAAGTGGCTGTGCCATTTTACATTCCCAGCAGCAATGTATTGGTTCCAGTTCTCTGCATCCTGCCAACATTTGTTGTTATCTTTTTGATCGGAGCCCTCCTGGAGGGTGTGAAGTGCTGTCTCGTTGCAACTTTCTGTTTCTTAACTGCTCGTTTATTTTCTATGCTTATTGGCAGCTTGTACATCTTAGAAGATATGTCTGCAAATCCGTTGCCCATCTTTTGGAGTGTCTTTTTGAGTTACAAGCGTTTTTTTATGTATTCTGGATACAAGTTCCTTATCAGACAGTTTTCTCCCATCTTTTTCACTGTTTTGATAGCATCTTTTGAAGCGGGAAAGTTTTGTTTTGTTTTGTTTTTTGAGACAAAGTCTCGCTCTGCCGCCCAGGCTGGAGTGCAATTGCGTGATCTCAGCTCCCCACAACCTCCTCCTCCTGGGTTCAAGCAATTCTCCTGCTCAGCCTCCCGAGTAGCTGGGATTACAGGAATGTGCCAGCATGCCCGGCTAATTTTTCTTTTTTTTTTTTTTTTAGTAAAGACAGGGTTTCTCTATGTTGGTTAGGCTGGTCTCAAACTCCTGACCTCAGGTGATCCGCCTACCTCAGTCTCCCAAAGTGCTGGGATTACAGGCATGAGCCACCATGCCTGGCCTTCTTTTTTTTTTTTTTTCTTTTTTTTTAAATGTCTTGCTGGTGCTTTTGTTGTCACATCTAAGAAACTACAGTCCAGCTGGGCGCAGTGGCTCACGCCTGTAATCTCAGCACTTTCAGAGGCCGAGGCAGGTGTATCACCTGAGTTCAGGAGTTCGAGACCAGCCTGACCAACATGGAGAAACCCCATCTCTACTAAAAATACAATATCAGCTGAGCATAGTGGCGTATGCCTGTAATCCCAGCTACTCGGGAGGCTGAGGCAGGGGAATCATTTGAACCCGGGAGGCGGAGGTTGTGGTGAGCCGAGATCACACCATTGCACTCCAGCCTGGGCAACAACAGCGAAACTCCATCTCAAAAACAAACAAACAATCAAAAAGAAACCACAGCCTTTCTGTGGCAGGTTTGAGGCAGCCATGCTCTTGGTCTCCCTTGGAGCTCTGTTCTGCACCTCCTTCTGCAGGTCTGTTTCAGCCATCTCCCTCTGCATTCCAGTTTTTTGTTTTTTGTTTTTAATGTTTCTCTGCACAGGAGAGCCAGCCCCCACATAACTCCTTCCACTTCATAAGATTAGCAGAAATGAACTACTGTCTTTCCAAATTCCTAAGAGAAAGCCTCCTGAGTAGCTGGGATTACAGGCACCCACTAACTTTTGTATTTTTAGTAGAGACAGGGTTTCACCATGTTGGCCAGGCTGGTCCTGAACTCCTGACCTCAGGTGATCTGCCCACCTCAGTCCCCCAAAGTGCTGGGATTACAGACGTGAGCCACCCTGCCCAGTCAGATTCTTTTATTTTCAAAAATCATACACTTGTAGCCTGTAATCATTTTCTGAAACTCTGCCATGTTACTTCAAACCTGCACTCTCGAAGTCAGGACCAACAGGAGGCCTCCTGAAGCCCCAGACACTGACACCTGCCTGATCAGAGGTTCCTAGGCCCTGAAGGGGGGCGTTGTGGGGTGCCTGGGCATGTGTCATGAACCACGTTGTGCTCTTTCAGGTCGTGTATGAGAGGTGTGAAAAGCTGCGACCCACGCTGTTCCGGCTGGCGAGTGACACCACTGATGACGATGATGCACTCGGTAAGTTTTCTTTCTTTGGGTGTAGCTAGCAGCACGGGTACAAGACAGATTCGGTCCCTCCTGTCACGCTGCTGTGCCAGGAACAAGACAGAGTGGACTTGATGTTCCGTGGAGCTTGTGCTTAGGTAGGGTGTGGCTTGAGTTGCCTCAGAACTGACTTCCAGCAGGATCCAGGCTTCAGTAAGAAATCAGCAGCAGGTCTAAAGCCTGAAAAGGGGTGGAAATTGACCATGGAGATTGGGGTGTGAGAGGTAGAAGAAAGATCCCTCTGGAGGCTTCAGGAAAAGCTGATCAATCTCAGGGGCCAGAGAAACAGCTGTGAGTGGTGTCTCAAAGGGATCACCAGCTTTTGTACCTTCAGGGGCCAGGTAGGTCACCTAAGAGAGCCTGGCCGATTGGAAATGGAAGGGACATCCGTAGGGACGTGAAAAATTGTCCACAGTTACTAAAAAAAAATTTAACTCTTTATTATGGAAAATCTCAAAACATGAGAGACGGGAATAGTAAAATAAATCCTATGTATTCTTCACTCATCTTTAATAATTACCAGCTCATAGCTGATTTTTCAAATCTTGTTTCATCTGTACCTCTTTTTGTACCCACCCATTCCCTAGTCTGTTTTGAAGCAAATTCTAGACATTCCTTTTTCTTTTAATTTTTTTTTGAGATGGAGTCTCATTCTATCGTCCAGGCTGGAGTGCAGTGGTGTAATCTTGGTTCACTGCAACCTCCACCTCCCAGGTTCAAGCCATTCACCTGCCTCAGCCTCCCAAGTAGCTGGGATTACAGGCAACCACCATCATACCTGGCTAATTTTTATATTTTTGTAGAGATGACGTTTCACCAATTTGGCCAGGCTGGTTTCAAACTGCTGGCCTCTAGTGATCTGCCTGCCGTGGCCTCCCAAAGTGCTGGTCTTACAGGCGTAAGCCACAATCCCCAGCCTCTGGACATTTCAAAATAATCAAAGATTCAGTCAGTGTTCAGATTTCCCTGATGAAATTTCTCCTTAATCATCTCTTGCTAACTTAAAAAAAAATTGTTCTAAATCAGACGCAAAAGAAAAGCCATAATTGGTTTATATTTCTTTAGTCTCTCTTAGTGGATAGCATGTGCATGCCCTCTGCAATCCTTTTTCGTTTTTTTGAGACAGTCTCACTCTGTTGCTCAGGCTGGAGTCCAATGGCGTGATCTCAGTTCACTGCAGCCTCTACAGCCTCTATCTCCTGGGTTCAAGCAGTTCTCATGCCTCAGCCTCCTGAGTAGCTGGAACTACAGTTGCGCACCACCATACCTGGCTAATTTTTGTACTTTTCGTAGAGATGGAGTTTTGCCATGTTGGCCAGGCTGGTCTCAAACTCCTGGGCTCAAGTGATTTGCCCGCCTTGGCTTCCCAAAGTGCTGGGATTACAGGCATGAATCACCACGCACAGCCTTTTCTCCTTGCATGAAAATAGGCCCTCTGAATTGAGAGTATTCTCAGTCTCAGTTCTGCTCGTCGCATCCCCCATGATGCTGTTAATGTTTCTGTTTCTGATATTTCTTTTTTTCTTGAAATAGAGTTTCGCTCTTGTTGCCCCGGCTGGAGTGCAATGACGTGATCTCAGCTCGCTGCAACCTCCCTCTCCTGGGTTCAAGCAATTCTCCCACCTCAGCCTCCCGAATAGTTGGGATTACAGGCACCCGCCACCACGCCGGGCTAATTTTTTGTATTTTTAGTAGAAACTGGGTTTCACCATGTTGGCCGGGATGGTCTTGAACTCCTGACCTCAGGTGATCCGCCCACCTCAGCCTCCCAAAGTGCTGGGATTGCAGGCCTGAGCCACTGCGCCCAGCCAACAGGTTCTGAGTTAAAGTTAAAAGTTTGTTCTTTAAAGGGCCTTAATTTGAGTGCTTACTGCTGGCCAGTACTCTGGACAGTACAGGTGTAGAAGGTAAACAGATTTGCTTCCTTCTGCATTGAGAACTATTAATATGTTAGGACTCGGGTTAACTGACTAGGCCTGATAGGGTCCGATGACACAATCTGGGGGCTGGAGGTGTGGATAAACTGAACATAGTCGAGCCATATGAAGGCTGTTTTATGGAAACGCTTAGAAAGGATTGAGATTGTTGGTCACCAAACCAGGGGGTTCTGATTCTTCCCTCATTCTTCAGCGGAAATTCTCCAGGCAAATGACCTCCTCACCCAAGGAGTTCTGCTGTACAAACAGGTGATGGAGGGCCGGGTCACCTTTGGAAACAGAGTGACCAGCTCAGTGGGAGACATCCCTGTCTCCAGAGGTATGTTTGAAAGCCTCTCCTTGCCTTCTGCCTCAGGGCAACCTGCAATTCCCAGAAAAAAAAAAAAAAAATGGGTCCTAAACATAGTCTGGGTTAAGGAATAGAAATGAGAGAACTCGCCCTTTGTTCCCCTTCCTGTGAAAGCGGGTTTCATGTTGCCATGCCCAGCCACAGGAATCGTCATGAGCTGGTTGCCGGGCTGGACCCCAGCTTTGACTACACACGGAAGCAGATGGCTAAGCTGTGCCTGGGTTTGAATTCTCATAAATGCTTGCATATGGGAGCTAGAGACAAAAGAAATGGTCTTCCTCAGTGGTTCCTAGTGCCAGGTCAGCTGTATCAGAATCACCTGGAGCACTGGTTGAACTGCCACTGCTTAGGTCCCTGGCTTGGACCTTCTAAATCAAGACTGCTTGGCGCTGGGCCTGAAGGTCTGCGTCTTTCAAGCACTGCAAGTGATTTTGATCAGCTGTGGTCAGAAGCCTCGGAATGGCCTGAGCTGGAGAAGGTCGAATCTGCTCTCCTCCAGGGTGATGGGACCTTTGCATGATGGCCTGTGATCCCTGGGGTAGGAAGGCAGACCTTGGCTCCCTATTGTCCTGGATGCCAGCTCAGCTTGTGTGTCAGGACACTCACCTGAGTGGAAGGTTCTTGGAAGGGCAGGAAGGGCATTACCATTTGATTAGGAGGTGGCCTGAGGGAAGCTGATTGGATTTATGTGGAGACTTTGCTCTCATGTCCAACTGATTTCTCTTCCTAACTCTGGGCTTTCTAGTCTTTCAGAATCCAACAGGCTGCATGAAGACCTGCCCCCTGATTGACTTGGAGGTGGACAATGGACCTGCGCAGGCGGGGACTGTGGCGCCATCTTTGCTTCATCAAGACCTGGCAGCCTTGGGTGAGGGCAGGTCCTTGTGGGGAGCAGGCATAGGATGGGTGCCAGTAGGGAAGCAAGCTGGTTCCCTTCACGGAGCACGTGCCTGCTGCTGAGGGGGTCGAGATGGTTGTGAATAGGAAGAATGAGCTGGTTCCCTCTGGGGGCACGTACCTGCTGCTGAGGGAGTGAGTAGGGGAGTGAGTTGGTCCCCTCAGGAAGCACGTGTCTGCTACTGAGCGAGTCAGGATGAGTGTGAGTAGGGGAGTGAGCTGGACCCTCGGGGAACACGTGTCTGCTGCTGAAGGAGTCAGGATAGTTGTGAGGAGAGTGAGCTGGTCCCCTCAGGAAGCACATACCTGCTGCTGAGGGAATCAAGGTGGTTGTGAGTAGGGGAGTGAGCTGGTTCCCTCAGGGAGCACATACCTGCTGCCGAGGGAATCAGGTGTTCTGGGCAGTTGAGCGGGTCCCCCTTGCATATTAGTCACAGATTGGCCATGGATGAGTCGCATGACCTTCAGTAAGTTGCTTATTTGTCTAGACTTTCTGGATGTCCTAGAAAGGGTGGGTGTGGCATTAATCACCATCTTGAAGCAGGTGGAGTTAATGTTATGCATCTCACTCCACTCCTTTCTTACAGGAATCAGTGATGCTCCTGTTACAGGCACGGTGAGGATGCTCTTCCCAGGGCCCAGAGAGAGAAGGGGAGGGTCTCAGACCTGCCATTGTGAGGCAGCACTGCCTGGCGAGCAGAGAGGTGCTCCTACACTGTCCCGGTGGAATCATGGCCTTGGAGGTCCAAAGCCTCTTCCTCACCCATACTGTCTGGCTGGTACCCCAGGGGAGACAGGTTACACCAGACTCCTGCTTCCTGGAGGTCTGCCCAGGAGCCGAGTGTGATCTTGCCCTTTCTTTCCCCTCTTGCCCCAAGAGATGTCACCAGCCTGGGCCACAGCAGCTTGGGTGGGTTCAGGAGAGCTGTGCCTTGGTTTTACTGTGGCTGATGGTCACTCATACCCTGGTCTTACTTTAGCCATTCCTGATTTGACAGGTTGCTGGTCAGAATTGCTGTGAGGAAAAGAGGAATCCCTCCTCCAGCACACTGCCAGGCGGTGGCGTTCAGAACCCTTCTGCAGACAGGAATTTGCTGGACCTCCTCTCACCACAGCCAGCTCCGGGCCCTCTGTGAGTCTTCTGGGCAAGGGGAGTGGGAGAGTGTGGCTCCTGAGTGCAGTTCCTTCTCATGGGACAAGGGCCAAAGAATGGTGCTCTAAGACAGCCTCTCGCCCTGGAGAAACATCTTTCTTTTTTTTTTGAGACAGGGTCTCGCTCTATTGCCCAGGCTAGAGTGCAGTGGCACAATCTGGGCTCATTACAACCTTTACCTCCTGAGTTCAAGCGATTCTCCTGCCTCAGCCTCCCGAGTAACTGGGATTACAGGCACATGCCACCATGCCCAGCTAATTTTTTTTTAAGTTTTAGTAGAGATGGAATTTCACCATGTTGGCCAGGCTGATCTCAAACTCCTGACCTCAGGTGATCCGTCTGTCTGGCCGAGAATCATCTTTCTATTGAAAGTTTAGGCCAGGTGCGGTGGCTCATGCCTTGTATGAGTTCGTATTCACACTGCTGATAAAGACATACCCGAGACTGTGTAATTTAAAAACAAAAAGAGGTTTAATGGACTCATAGTTTCACGTGGCTGAGGAGGCCTCCCAATCATGGCGGAAGGCAAAAGGCATGTTTTCTTTCTTTTTTTTTTTTTTGAGACAGAGTCTTGCTCTGTCACCCTAGGTGGAGTGCAGTGGTGCAATCTCAGCTCACTGCCACCTCTGCCTCCCGGGTTCAAGCAATTCTCTTGCCTCAGCCTCCTGAGTAGCTGGGATTAAGGCGTATGCCACCACACCTGGTTAATTTTTTGTGTTTTTTTAGTAAAGATGGGGTTTCACCATGTTAGCCAGGATGGTCTTGATCTCCTGACCTCATAATCTGCCTGCCTCTGCCTCCCAAAGTGCTGGGATTACAGGCATGAGCCACTGCACTCAGCCAAAAGGCATGTCTTATGTGGCAGCAGACAAGAGAGAATGAGAGCCAAATGAAAAAGGGTTTCCCCTTATAAAACCGTCAGATCTCATGAGACTCACTACCATGAGAACAGTGTGGGGAAACTGCACCCATGATTCAGTTCTCTCCTACAGGGTCCCTGCCACGACGTGGGAATTGTGGGTGCTACAATTCAAGATGAGATTTAGGTGGGGACACAGCCAAACCATATCATACCTGTAATCCCAGCTCTTTGGGAGGCCAAGGCAGGTGGATCGCTTGAGCCCTGGAGTTCAAGACTAGCCTGGGATATATGGCAAAACCCCATCTCTACAAAAAACACAAAAATTAGCCAGGCGTAGTAGCTCATGCCTGTAGTCCCAGCTCCTCAGGAGGCTGAGGTGAGTGGATGACTTGAGCGCGGAAAGTCGAGGCTGCAGTGAGCCATTACCATGCCACTACATTCCAGCCTGGACAGCAGAGTGAGACCCTGTCTCAACAAAAGTTTAATATGCTGCTTCCCTTTTCTCATTTTACTTCCTTTCCTAAGTCGTTGGAAAATACCTGCTTTGGCCAAGACATCTGAAAGGGGGTTTATTTAAGGACTAGGAATAATAGAACATGAGGTTTTTGCTGTTTGTTTTTGTTTTCCCTTCTAATAACCATGTAATTGAAGTTAAGTAAAATTTGATCCATAGAGAAATATACAACAAAGTGCAAAGTACCACTCCCTAAAAACAAGGTTGAATGTTCCTTCTTTGCTTTTTTTCTGTACAAGTAGTGGTGCATTCTTGTGGCTTGTTACACAAACAGGATTTTTTTTTTTTTTTTGAGACGGAGTCTTGCTCTGTCGCCCAGGCTGGAGTGCAGTGGCCAGATCTCAGCTCACTGCAAGCTCCACCTCCCGGGTTCCAGCCATTCTCCTGCCTCAGCCTCCTGAGTAGCTGGGACTACAGGCGCCCGCCACCACGCCTGGCTAATTTTTTGTATTTTTTAGTAGAGATGGGGTTTCACCGTGTTAGCCAGAATGGTCTCGATCTCCTGACCTCATGACCCCGTCTCGGCCTCCCAAAGTGCTGGGATTATAGGCTTGAGCCACCGCGCCCGGCCACAAACAGGATTTTAATTTACAAACTGCACTCCAGCATGACCTTTTCATATCATTATCTGTGATGCATTTCATATCAGTTTCTATAAATATGCCTCAGTCTTCTTAATAGCTACATTATAATTCATTGCATGGATGTATTTGATCATTTCCCTTTTGTGCACATTTACATAATTTCCAGTTTGGAGATGCTTAGGGGAGTGCCTTATAGTACAGATCCCTGAAGGGAGAGGTTCTCTAAGGTGTGAACGTAACAACATTTTCATAGATCCTGTCCCTTTGTCTCTGGAAAAGTGCAGCTTACCTTCACCCAAACAGCCTGAAAGTGCCTATGTTCCTGATAGAAACCGCCTGGCTCTGGCAGAAGTGGGATGTCCTGGGAGTTCATTCCCATTTGCCGCCCAGAGGTCATTTCTTGTAGTCTTCTTTTTTTCAGCCACTTGGGCAGGGTGGGTTATTTCTTCTCGCGGGACTTTAGTTTTCTAAAATGTTTTCAGTTTGTGTCCCAAATGGACAAAATCATGGAGTGGATAGTAGCTGGTGTAATTTGTGTATCATCTGCCTGGCTTACGTCCCTCTGTGATCACACCTGGAAAACGACCTGCCTGAGCTACTTACTGTCAGGGACTGCCTGACAGGTACAACATGAGCAGCCCTCATAACAAAGGCTCTAGGTTATTGGGTTCTTATTATGTGTGGACATTTTAAGTGCTTTTCTTTCTTCTTTTTCTTTTTTTCCTGAGACGGAGTCTCGCTCTGTTGCCCAGGCTGGAGTGCAGTGGTATGATCTCAGCTCACCACAAGCACGCGCCACCACCACCTGGCTAATTTCTAATTTTTTTTTTTTTAAATTTTTGTACTTTTAGTAGAAACTGGGTTTCACCATGTCGGCCAGGCTGGTCTTGAACTCCTGACCTCAAATGACCCACCTGCCTCAGCCTCCCAGAGTGCTGGGATTACAGGCATGAGCCACCGCGCCCAGCCTCTAAGTGCTTTTCACACATTGTCTCGTTTGAATCTTGTAACAGCCCTACAAGGTAAATTACTTTTGCTTTTTCCATTTAACAGATGAGGAAGCTGAGGTATGAGTTTGATTACTTGACAAAAGTCATGTAACATCTGGTATATTAGCTCACACCTGTAATCCCAGTACTTTGGGAGGCCGAGGTGGGCGAATCACCTGAGATCAAGATTCAAGACCAGCACGGCCAATGTGGTGAAACCCTGTCTCTAATAAAAATACAAAAATTAGCCGGGCGTGGTGGCAGGTGCCTGTAATCCCAGTTACTCAGGAGGCTGAGGCAGGAGAATCGCTTGAGCCTGGGAGGCAGAGGTTGCCGTGAGCCGAGGCAGTTCCACTACACTCCAGCCTGGGCAACAGAGCAAGACACTGTATCATCGAAAAAAAAAAAGGCATATAACATCTAACTCTGTGTGTGTGTGTGTCTGTGAGATTTTTTTCCCTTGTTCTGTAATAAGCCTAACCCAAATTCCAGGAAATCGCTACAATTTTTGCTAGTCTTTGATATTTTTTATTTCTTTGTAGGAATTATGTTTCGCAGAAAAGTGTCCCCAAGGAAGTGCCCCCAGGTACTAAGTCCTCTCCAGGTTGGTCCTGGGAGGCTGGCCCGTTGGCTCCTTCCCCATCTTCACAGAATACACCTCTGGCTCAAGTGTTTGTCCCTTTGGAGTCTGTTAAGCCCAGTAAGTACAATTTTACTCCCCACCTTTTTTTTTTCCTGGGAATCTATTAGACTCCCAGCTTTTTCCACTCCAGTTTGGTAGAGGTAGCCCTTAAATTTGGTTGATGCCAGGTATGGTGACTCATGCCTGTAATCCCAGCACTTTGGGAGGCTGAGGTGGGAGGATCACTTGAGGCCAGGAGTTTGAGACCCGCCTGGGCAAGATAGCCTTGTCTCTATTTGGTGGGGGGAAGAAAAAAATGGGGAGGCTAAGGCAGGTGATCACTTGAGGCCAGGAGTTTGAGACCAGCCTGGCCAACATAATGAAGCCCCGTCTGTACAGAAAATACAAACATTAGCTGGGCGTGGTGGTGCATGCCTGTAGTCCCAGCTACTTGGGAGGCTGAGGCAGGAGAATTGCTTGAACCCAGGAGGTGGAGGTTACAGTGAGCCAAGATCATGCCACCACACTCTAGCCTGAGTGACAAAGTGAGACTCCGTCTCCCAAAAAAAAAAAAAGTTTGCTTCTTTGTCTTTTAGCTAATTTTCTTAGCCTTCCTTAGTATTGACACTGTCAAGGATATGGGCAAGCCTTTAGGCACATAATGTTCATTGATTTGGGATTCAAGAAGGGAATGTTTAATGTGGCCTGAAATGACTGGCAAGAGGTAGAATTCAAATGAGTGGAAGAATTTGTCTAGTGATAATCCTTCTCTAGGGATCCTCATTAAAGCAGAAAAGTGGTTATTACCTATGTTACAAAGGGAAGGAAATGGAAGGCTCAGCTAATCAAGGTGCCTACGGTCTCTGCACTAGTATGCACAGCAGGACACAACTCAGGTCATCTGTTCCAGGGCCTGGGCTCCTTAGCACAGAGCCCTCCTATGGCTCTTTGTGATGAGGTTAGATTGCAGAGAGCCCTGAAAGCCAGGCAGACAAATTTGTAAATAAACAGAGTTGGTAAACAGTGGGAGCTCTTTGCACATTTCTTTATTGATTTTTGATTTAAGAAATAATACATGTTCAGTGTTAATTTTCTGAATTCAATAATTGTACTGTAGTTACGATATTAACATCTGGGGAAGCTACATGAAGGGTATATAGAAATTTTTGTATTAGTTTTATAACTTCTTATAAGTCTGAAATTATTACAAAGCAAACTTTAAAAAGTAAAAAAGTTAAAAATACATGTTCAAAATGTAGAGTTTTATTAAAGATAGAATAGGCTGGACTCAGTGGCTCACGCCTGTAATGCCAGCACTTTGGGAGGATGAGGCAGGCAGATCACTTGAGGTCAGGTGTTTGAGACCAGCCTGGCCAAAATGGTGAAACCCTAAAAATACAAAAATTAGCTGGGTGTGGTAGTATGCACCTGTAATCCCCAGCTACTCAGGAGCCTGAGTCAGGAGAATCACCTGAACCCAGACGGCAGAGGTTGCAGTGAGCTGAGATCGTGCCACTGTGCTTCGATGTGAGCAACAAAGAAGACTCTGTCTCAAAAAAAAAAAAAGAGATGTACTAGAAAAGTAAAATCATCTATACCATTATCAGCCAGAGATGGAAATTCTGTTCATGTCTTGATAGATTTTCTTCTTGTCTTATCATGTACGTATATTTGTACATACACAGTTCTTAATAATTTTATACCACATTGTGTACAGAATGTTACTCTATTTACTGTTACTTTATAAGTCTATACCATTTTTATGCCCTTAGTTCTTTAAAAACGTGATTTTTAATGAACTTATTTATATATATGCACCATTAAATAGAGGTACTGTAATCTGTTTATTCAGTATTTTATTTTATTTTATTTTTTATTTTATTTTATTGTTGAGACAAGGTCTGGCCCTGTCATCCAGGCTGTAGTGCAGTGGTGCTATCTCAGCTTACTACAACCTCCGTCCTCCAGGCTCAAGCCATCCTCTCACCTTGGCCTCCAAAGTAGCTGGGACTACAGGCATGCGCCACTATATCTGGCTTATTCAGTCCTCCTCTGAAGGTCAATTTCTTTCTACCTGTTTGCTGTTAAAAACAGGGCTACAGGACAGGTGTGGTGGCTCACGCCTGTAATCTCAGCACTTTGGGAGGCCAAGGCGGGTGGAGCACCTGAGGTTAGGAGTTCGAGACCAACCTGGCCAACATAGTGAAACCCTGTCTCTACTAAAAAATACAAAAAAAATTAGCCAGGCGTGGTGGTGGGCACCTGTAGTCCCAGCTACTTGGGAGGGTGAGGCAAGAGAATCGCTTGAACCTGGGAGGCAGAGGTTGCAGTGAGCTGAGATCGTGCCATTATACTCCAGCCTGGGTGACACAGTGAGACTCTGTCTTTAAAAAAAAAACAGGGCTACAAAGAACATCTTTGGATGCCTTTCTTTATACCTTTCTTTATGTTATACCTTCCTGATTATTAGGCGATCATAATACCAGTGAAATGCCACATGTAGACATTTAAAATTTTGATCTGTATTACCAGTTTCCCTTCTGAAAAGGTTGCTTTTTTTCCCCATACTCTTGCCACCATACCCCACTGATGTTTTCAGTCTCTTAAATCTTTGGTAGTTTCATTGTTAAACTGTGTTTTAATTTTTTTTTTTGAGATGGAGTCTCACTCTGTCGCCCAGGCTGGAGTGCAGTGGCACGACCTCAGCTCACTGGAAGCTCTGCCTCCTGGGTTCACGCCATTCTCCTGCCTTAGCCTCCTGAGTAGCTGGGACTACAGGCGCCTGCCACCACGCCCAGCTAATTTTTTTGTATTTTTAGTAGAGATGGGGTTTCACCGTGTTAGCCAGGATGGTCTCGATCTCCTGACCTCACGATCCGCCCACCTCGGCCTCCCAAAGTGCTGGGATTACAGGTGTGAGCCACCATGCCCGGCTGTTTTAGTTTTTTTTAATTTTTTTTGTATTTTTAGAGATGGGGCCTCGCTCCATTGCCTAGGCAGGAGTGCAGTGGCATATTCATAGCTCACTGCAGCCTCAAATTCCTCTTGGGCTCAAGCAATCCTCCTGTCTCAGACTCCCAGGTAGCTAGCATGACAGGCATGCACCACCATACCCAGCAAATTTTTATTGTCTTTTTGGGGATGGGAGGCAGATCTCACTATATTGCCCAGGCTGGTCTTGAACTCCTGACCTCAAGCAATTTTCTCATCTCAGCCACCTGAGTAGTTGTGATTACAGGCATGAGACACCATACCCAGATCTAAGCTATATTTTAGTAATGTATATTTTGATATTAAAGCGTTTTCCCAGCTGATTAAGCAGTCTGAGTGCCATTCATTGAGCCAGCCCTGATTTTTGAAGGATATGTTATGTTACAGTCTCATTTAGATCTGTTCTGCATGTTCTGTTTTATGCCACTTCACTTGAATTGTAATTTTATCTGAGTATTTGCTATAGCCCTGCCCCCCTTATTAAATTTATTGGTTAGTCTTACATAGTTTTTCCCCCTCAAATAAACATTAGAGTCACTCCTGAGCTAAATTAAAAGTATCTTTAGAATTTCCATTGGAATGCTATTAAACTTATTAATTTGAGGTGATTTGGTATCTACGGTTTTGTACAATTAAATATAAGGTGGTGTGTGTGTGTGTGTGAGCATGTGCGTGTGTTTGTAGTCACACAAAAGAGACTAGAAGGAAATAAGTGCTTATTTCTGGGTAGAATTAAGAGTGCATTGGCTGGGCGCGGTGGCTCATGCCTGTAATCCCAGCACTTTGGGAGGCCGAGGTGGGCGGATCACCTGAGGTTGGGAGTTTGAAGCCTGACCTCCCCCAGCCTGACCAACATGGAGAAACCCTATCTCTACTAAAAACACAAAAACTAGCTGGGCATGGTGGCGCATTCCTGGCTACTCTGGAGGCTGAAGTAGGAGAATCATTTGAACCCGGGAGGCGGAGGTTGTGGTGAGCCAAGATCATGCCGTTGCACTCCAGCCTGGGCAACAAAAGTGAAAGTCCATCTCATAAAAAAGAGCATTTATTTTATTTTTTTATGATTGTGTGTGTGTATGTGGTTTTTTTGTTTGTTTTTTCGTTTGTGAGACAGTCTCGCTCTGTCACCCAGGCTAGAGTGCAGTGGTGCAATCTCGGCTCACTGCAACCTCCGCCTCCCGAGTTCAAGTGATTTTCGTGCCTCAGCCTCTCAGATGGCTGGGATTACAGGCGTGCACCACCATGCCCAGCTAATTTTTGTATTTTTAGTAGAGATGGGGTTTTGCCATGTTGTCCAGGCTGGTCACGAACTCTTAGCCTCAAGTGATCCACCCTCCTCGGCCTCCCAAAGTGCTGGGATTACAGGCATGAGCCCCCACGCCTGGCTGATAATTTTCTGTTTTCTATAGTGTTCATGCATGATTTTAATCATGATCATATCTTCCTCAAAAATGTGATCTTTTTTTGTTTTTTTTGAGACGGAGTCTCGCTCTGTCGCCCAGGCTGGAGTGCAGTGGCCGGATCTCAACTCACTGCAAGCTCTGCCTCCTGGGTTTATGCCATTCTCCTGCCTCAGCCTCCCAAGTAGCTGGGACTACAGGCGCCCGCCGCCTCGCCCAGCTACTTTTTTTGCATTTTTTAGTAGAGACGGGGTTTCACCATGTTAGCCAGGATGGTCTCGATCTCCTGACCTCGTGATCCGCCTGTCTCGGCCTCCCAAAGTGCTGGGATTACAGGCTTGAGCCACCACGCCCAGCCAAAAAATGTGATTTTTTAATAACTGGTGGTGTGTCTGATGGTTGAATGGTAGGGAGAGGTCAGTTTGGAGGGTCATAGGAGTCCAACTGGAGTCATGGGGACTTGGATTATTATAGTGCAGAGAAATTCAGTCCTGGACATGTTCTGCATGGAGAAGCAGTAGCATCTGGGGATAACATGTATATCTCTTTCCAGCCTGGCTGTCTGGGGGGTTTTGTAGTGGTGTTAACCCTTCTGCTCGTGCCCTCTCTACCAGGCAGCCTGCCACCTCTCATCGTGTATGACCGGAACGGATTCAGAATTCTGCTCCATTTCTCCCAGACGGGAGCCCCTGGGCACCCAGAGGTACAGGTGCTGCTCTTGACCATGATGAGCACGGCTCCCCAGCCTGTCTGGGATATCATGTTTCAAGTGGCTGTGCCAAAGGTGAGTCATCTGTTGTGGATTTCTCAGTAATGGCTGTCGTTTTTGAGTGCCAAGTTCTTTGCTGGGACTTATCTGTCGAGTGTCAAGGAAAGAATCTTCACTCAAACTAACTGAAGATAAAGTGGGAATGTAATGGCTTACCTGACTGGGGATTCCTGAATATCTGGCGTCAGATATGAGTGGATCCAGATAGGTTCTTAAACGATGCCTCTAGAGTCTGTCTGTATCTCTTGACTCTGCTTTTCTTTGTCTCCATTCTGACAGTTTCTCCACAAAGCAGGAAAGTGGCTACCCACAGCTCCAGGGTTGCATGGTCCTTAACCCTCTTTATCTCAGAAACTCTCACCAGGCATGAAGCATGTATACTGATTACCCAGGAAAGGGCTCTGATTGGCCTTGTTGGTGTTACTTCCATACCTTGGACCAGGAACTTGTGTCCTGGGATATGAGGCACTTGGCCAATGTGAGATAACATATCCAGCCCTTTTCAAAGGAAGTGGGGCCCTACTGCTTAACAGGCACCCCACAGTCACAGGGGAAGGGGCCCGTCCTGAAAGGAAAAGATTCAAGACAGACAAAAATATGACATGTAGTCTCTACTTCTCATGGTAGTCCTGTAGGGAATGTTCTGCTACTACCTGTTGTATAAGTTAACCCAAGGCTCAGAAATTAAATATTTTACTCAAGGTCACAGAGCTAGTGAGAAGCAGTTAGAATTCAACCTAAAATGTGCCCTGGCTGTTGATGCTGCTTCTCAGATGCCAGTTATTGACCACACAACTCCAGATCCATTCTGTATGTGGAAGGAAAGGCCTCTTAGATCCTTTTAACAATTAGTGGGAGTCTGTCTGCTTGGGCTCCCATAGGTGCCTCGGGGTACCACGTCTAAGAGGGCCATTTCCTCTTGGAGGGGTGTTGGGGAGGTCCAGCTCCCCCTCACCTGATCTTCATCCTGGAAGCTGTGGTTAGGAATGAGTTACATGTTGGTTTTCTTCCCCCATAGTCAATGAGAGTGAAGCTGCAGCCGGCATCCAGCTCCAAGCTTCCTGCATTCAGTCCTTTGATGCCTCCAGCTGTGATATCTCAGATGCTGCTGCTTGACAATCCACACAAAGTATGTTCTAGTGTCTGTGGTAGCAGGGAGATGGGGGCCCCTGAACTGTAAGAGGAGGTAACTTTGTGGGTAGAGAGAGGCACATTGAGGCCTTGCTCTAAAGTCTCTGGTTTGCCGGGCTCAGTGGTTCACCCAAGTAACCCCAGCACTTTGGGAGGCTGAGGCAGGTGGACACCCTGAGGTCAGGAGTTTGAAACCAGCCTGGCCAACATGGTGAAACCCCATCTCTACTAAAAATACAGAAATTAGCTGGGTGTGATGGCACGCGCCTTTAGTCCTAGCTACTCAGGAGGCTGAGGCAGGAGAGTCGCTTGAACCCAGGAGGTGGACGTTGCAGTGAGCCAAGATTGTACTACTGCACTCCTGGGCAACAGAGCAAGACTCCATCTCAAAAAAAAAAAAATAAAGTCGGCCGGGTGCAGTGGCTCATGCCTGTAATCCCAGCACTTTGGGAGGCTGAGGCAGATGGATCATGAGGGTCAAGAGATCGAGACCATCCTGGCCAACATGGTGAAAGCCCATCTCTACTGAAAATACAAAAATTAGCTGGGCATGGTGTCGCATGCCTGTAGTCTCAGCTACTCGGGAGGCTGAGGCAGGAGAATTGCTTGAACCCAGGAGGCAGAAGTTGCAGTGAGCCGAGATCACTCCATTGTACTCCAGCCTGGCGACAGAGTGAGACTCCATCAGATAGATGGATGGATGGATGGATGGATAGATAGACAGATAGATAGATAGATAGATAAAGAGAGAGAGAAAAGAACAGAAAAGGAGAGAGAGAAAAAAAAAAAGAAAAGAAAAAAGAGGAAAGAGAAAGAAGAAAGAAAGTCAGTCTCTGGTTTGGTTGGGTGGTAGGGGTATATGTGGAATATCCCTCACTGGAGTCTGTCTTTGGGGCTCATTGAAGGAAGATCAGATGGATTGTCATAGCTGGGGACCAAGGGAGGGACACATGAACTCTCCCTAATCCTCTGGAATCCTCTGAAAGGGCAAGGCCTGTCTTCCTAAGCTGGTCTCTGAATTGCAGCCCATCTCAGGATTTCAGGACTGCAGAAGTATCGAAGGGTTCCCAGGATATGTGCCTATTTCCCCTTGTTTGTAGTCCCAAAGAGAGTATCCTAGGTATTTTGTGTCAGAATTGTTTGAAGCACTCACTTGACTTAACATGGTCACCCTGTTCCTGGGTTGCTCTCCACTGATTTAACATCTTCTGTCTCTTCTATCCCAGGAACCTATCCGCTTACGGTACAAGCTAACATTCAACCAAGGTGGACAGCCTTTCAGCGAAGTAGGAGAAGTGAAAGACTTTCCAGACCCGGCTGTCTTGGGTGCAGCCTAACTTTTCATAAGACGGACCCTTCATTTCAAGCTTAGGCTGGCGTTACTTTTGCTGTCAAGTCGGGACTAATGGTGTTTCAGTGCAGAGTGCCAAGAGTCCTATCCTGACGTCAGGCTCTGGGTGTCAACTTCTGACTTATTCTGCAGATGCTGTGCGTGTGTGTATGTGTCTGTGTCTGTGTGTCTGTGTGTTTGGGGAGAGGGTGGTAGTGCAGGGCTTGGGATATCGGCAGTGTGGGAAATGTGTTGCATTTCTCATCATCATCATCTCTGCTACAGTCATGTTTCTGCATGTCAGCGAGCGACACTGTCTGTGCCTCAGGTTGGAGGTTTTATCAGCCAAAGTGTTTTTTTCATGTATTGTTCGTTCCATTCATCCACTCTGTGCCTTGTCAGCCTTTGAAAGTCTTGGTTGCTCCCAGGCTGCTGTTCTCAGGGACCTTAAAAGGGACCTGGTTAGTCTTGGGGCAGAGAGTATCTTCTTGGGCACTCTCTTCCAAGAAAGACCTTGTCTCCATTTTCATTAGACAATGCTTCTTGTGTGTGTTCTGGAAGATCTTCTAAATGGAATGCTTGTTGCACTGTTCCCAGGCGAGTGGCTGCCATGAGACCTGAGGACCACACCTGGGGGACCAATCATGTCCTTCACCACTGTGCCTTAGAATCGCCCCTGGACAGGCCTCCTGGGCAGAGGGGAAAGCAGCTCCCAGGCCTTATTCAGGCCTCAGGTCCATGGGTTGGGCAGCCAGTCTGGGCCCTTCTCAGGATCCTCATCTCCATCCTCATCCTCTTCCTTCACGGCATTTACTCGGAGCTCTTTGTGACACACCATGTTGGTCATGGTGAATCGGCCAACAGCCAGCCCTTGCCAGCTGACGTCACAGTCTAAGATGGGGAACTGTGGTACAGATAGACATGAAGAGAGCTTAGCAGTGATTGAGGTGGTGACTAAATATACAGTCATTAAATAAATACCATGTAGCAAATGTACTTTGTGGAGTGTTGAGTAAGTGGAAAATGGAAAGCCAGTTGCATTTAGAGATGATAGGCCTAAAGGGAACTGTCTTCTGTCGAGAAGTAAAGGAAACTTCCTGAAGGATGTAGAAACTTAACTGCCTCAGTGAAGAGAACCTGAAGATCTGAGGCAAGCTGGACAGGAGAGGTGGATATTTGTTGAAGGAAAAATTCAAGTTTATAATCACTTCCCACTTAGTGAGCACCTACTGTGTGCTAGGAACTTGAATGTGTATTTTTGACAAGTCCTGCTTGGCCTGATGGATGAGAGAAGGAACCTGAGCCTGGCTGAGATGGCCAGGTGGAGGGCTTTGAAGTCCAAGCAGCTGAACTGGCTGGGTGGGTTTCTACCTCCGAAACTGCAAGGCTTGTTTGGAGCTCTTAATCACAGTATCTGATATTTTTAAAGTCTGATCTTTTGGCTTCTACATATAGTGGAAATCTGCCAACACTAATTGGTGGAGGTGGGAACTGTAAAAGATGAAGTATGCTAATTTTAAGCAAATGTAAAAACTCATAAAACAGATAAACAGTGAGGTGATTTCATTTGCCGTAATTCACATAAGACAAATTTTAATCTAAAAGTACTTGCTTGTGTTCTGTGTGCCTTTTTTTTTTTTTTTTTCCTTCTGTTTTTTGAGGCCACTCTGTCACCCAGACTGGAGTACAGTGGTATGATCTCAGCTCACTGCAATCTCTGCCTACCAGGTTTAAGTGATTCTCATGCCTCAGCCTCCCAAGTAGCTGGGACTACAGGCGTGAGCCACCACGCCCAGCTAATTTTTGTATTTTTAGTAGAGATGGGGTTTCACCACGTTGGCCAGGCTGTTCTCAAACTCCTGACCTCAGGTGATGCGCCCACCTCGGCCTCCCAGAGTGCTGGGATTACAGGCGTGAGCCACCACACCTGGCCTCTGTGTAGTTTTTATATGCTCTGTTGCTGTTGCATAGGCTTGAAGAGATACCCATCATAATGACAGCATCTCCCTCTGAAGGGTTTTGGTCAAAATGGGTGAATGAGACTTACACATAAAGACAGGCTTTCTCCCCTATTGTTCAGAGGTGAACTCACACGTGTGTACCTGAACATTCTTGCTTTTGAGGAGACAGACTCCCAGTGGTACTTACTATGCTTAGGTGTTGGACAGGATAGGTGTGGGAGGAGAGAAGGCAGGCTGCTGTCCTGAAAGTGGCTGTGGTTTATGTTATCACTCCCTTCTAATCAGCAAGTCCAGTGGCCACTCACAGCCCAGCTCCTACCTCTTCATTCACTCAACAAGTAGTGACTCACACCTATAATCCCAGCATTTTGGGAGGCTGAGTGGGATGACCACTTCAGCCCAAGATTTCAAGTCCAGCCTGGGCTACATAGTGACACCTCGTCTCTGTTTTTTAAAAAACTAGTTGTTGACCAGCTACCCTGAGCCAGGGCACCACCCTGAAGGAGCTTCTCTTCCTCTGGGGAGAAGCAAATTCATGATGTGTGTGCTGGAGATCTGGCACTCATGGCCAGTGCTTTCCAGTGTCCTGAACTCTTCAGGGGTCCTGTTGACCCCTATTTCGTGACCTACCTCCGTGACTGCTCTTTTTCCTCTGTCTTGTAAGTGTGGTGGTTTTCCAGAGTCCAATCCTCAGGACTTTCCTATCCACACAGAGGCCTGGTAGTCAGGCGACTCTAAACCATTAGATGGATTGTAGACCTCTCTCAAGCTGCCACCTCCTTGCTGTCCCCAGATCATATTTCAGTCTGTCAGTGGATATCTGTATCTGGAGGTTCCACTGTTGCTTCTATCTCAGTTACTTAGAATGGAACACAGAGTCCTGCCCCTTTCCACCTACATGCCCTTACTTGAAAGCACCTGAGACTTATTGGGTCCCTGATTCCTGCTTCATCTGTATCTGCGGAGTAGTTGTATGTCAAGTGGCCTGTTTTCTAAACAATCCCACATCATGTCCTCCCTGTACTTACATTGCCACTGCTCTGGTTTGGGCTTTTTTGGCGGAGGGGGATGGGAGAGACAATGCCTCTGTCCCAATTCTGAGTACCAGCTCTGGTTCTTGCCACTACCAGAGTTCTCTAGCAAATCTGAGCATCTGACCGGGTGAAAAATTCTGAATGGCTTCCTGATGCCTAACTTTATGGGATCAAATTCAAGTTGCACGCTGACACTCAGTGCCCTTCTGGTATCATCTGCCAAGACCAGGGCCTGCTTCACCACAGCCGCAATAAAAGTCCTTTCAAGCCCTGATAATGCCATGTTTTGTCATAACCTTTTGCCTACATATGCTGCAGTTAATTACTCTCCCTGTTATCTTCCACGACCTGGGCAAAATGTTTCCTTATCTGTGAGCCGCTCTGAACACAAATAGGTCATGAAAATAGTGTTGAAAACAGAATGACAACCAAAAGAAAAGCGAGTATTACCTAGTACAAATAGTGTAAATTAAGACAGCAAATGTTAAAGGTAGAAAGCAAAGGCAATATTCTAGAATACAAATAGTGCTTGCCTACTACAATATTAATCCCAAATCCTTTAAATATACCCATTATAGAAGATGCTTACCCAGCGTCAAGAGTGTGAAAGTGGGTTGGTTTGTTTTCTTGAGACAGAGCTTTGCTCTATTGCCCAGGCTGGAGTGCAGTGGCACGATTGTACTCAATGTAGCGTTGAATTCCTGTGCTCAGGCGATCCTCCGCCTTCAGCCTCTGGAGTAGCTGGGACTACAGGTACATGCTACCACGCCCAGCTAATGTTTCAGTTTTTGGTAAAGACTGGATCTCTTGTGTTGCCCAGGCTGGTCTCCTGGGCTCAAGCGTTCCTCCTGCCTTGACCTCCCAAAGTGCTGGGATTACAGGCATGAGTCACCATGTCCTGACCCTCAGTTTGTTTTAAAGCCAAGTGATGCACCAAGATGTTTGTGTGCACATGTCACAGTGGTAATCTTTGGGTCATGGAATTATAAAATTTCTTTCAATTTTATCTGAGCTTTCTAAAATCTAAGCTGAAAATAAAACCTTATTTTTTATGCTCAGTGTTGGCTTTTTTTAAGACAAAGACATTGACATGATTCAAAATTACGAAAGGTGAAAATTCTTCCCACCCAGTTACCGCCCTCCTCTGTCTTTTCAGAGGGATTCTAGGCATGTTCAAGAAAATAGTATACTGTTCTGTGTTTTGTTCTTTTCATGTAACACTATAGATAGCTTGGAGATAATGCCATTATCAGTATGAATTACTTAGAAACGTAACCCCACTCTCTTCCCTGAGCTCATATGGTACAAATCAAGCATTATGTGTTGAAAGTGCTGCATGTTAAAACTCGGTAGCAATTCCCTCATAGTTTCTTGTATCCTCTCCCTCCCACTGGCAGCATTCCCAGGCGCCCAAGCAGACTGGACTTTTTCCGGGCAACCCTCTCTTGTCTCGATTCTGGCAGCCCTGTGCGCTAGAGTGAACCAAGTATGGGCTGGGGAGCCAGGTTCAATTTCTAGTTTTTTGCCACCTGGGTCTCTGGGTCTCAGTTTTTATATCTGTAAATGGTAAAAATGTTAGAAGTCTACTTCACACATTTTGCTGAGAATTTAATGAGGTGTACAAAATAGCAGATACAATAGATAGTCTATAAATTTAGGTGCTATTTCTCAAATCACCTTCACATCTGAGATTTTTTTAACCATTGTAACAGTGGTGACTTCCATTTCATCACTGTTCATTTCACAGCCTCTCCTCATAAAACCACAGGAATTGTGCTAAGAATACTGATAACTTATGAATATTTCTATAGGCAGCAGAAAAGGTTGATAATAAAATCTGACCATACCAGCTGGGTGTGGTGGCTCACGCCTGTAATCCTAGCAGTTTGGGAGGTCAAGGTGAAGGATCACGAGGTTAGGAGTTCGAGACCAGCCTGGCCAACATGGTGAAACCCCGTCTACTAAAAGTACAAAAATCAGCTGGAAATTGCTTGAACCCAGAAGGTGGACTTGCAGTGAGCCGAGATCATGCCACTGCACTCCAGCCTGGGCAACAGAGCAAGACTCCATCTCAAAAAATAAACAAAAAAAAATCTGACCATACCCTTTGTTAAGATCAGGATCAGCTGCAATAAGCAAACCCAAAGTAACAGTCAAAATGTTTACTTTTCTCTGTATTCGTTCATTAGAACTGCTATGACAATGTACCGCAAGCTGGGTGGTTTAAGTCAACAGATGTGTTGTCTGAGTTCTGCAGGGTGGGAGTCTAATATTGGGGCCATGGTTCTCCCTCTTGGTGGTTGCTGGCTTCCACCATCTTTGACTTCCTTAGCCTGCAGCTGCGTAACTCCAGCCTTTGCCTTCATTGTCACATGGTGTTCTTCTTGTGCCTTCTTTACATGACCAGTTTTTCTTAAGAGACATGCTGGAGTGCAGTGGCGTGGTCATAGCTCACTGCAGCCTCAAGCTCCTGGGCTCTAGGGATCCTCCCAGTTTGGCCTCCCAAGTAGCTAAGACTACAGATAGATGCATGCTGCCACACCTGACGAAGTTTTAAATTTTTGTAGAGATAAGGGCCTCACCATGTTGCCCAGGCTAGTCTTGGACTCCTGGCCTCTCAAAGTGCTGGGATTACAGGCATGAGCCACCATGCCTAGCCTGACCGTAGTACATCTCTAATCATATATAATTAGTACTGCATATCTTTTTGGATTAAGTAAAATCAATTGCCCTAGCATTCAAGTTTCTCTACAGCATAGCCTCATCTCAGCTTCAGTTTCCTCTTTTGGAAATAGAAATACTACCTGCCTTAACTCAAAAGGCTGTGAGGAAACCACGTGGTGGCCTGAGCCTGTAATCCCAGCACTTTGGGAAGCTGAGATGGGAGGATCGCTTGAGCCCAGGAGTTTGAGACCACCCTGGGCAACATAGTGAAACCCCTGTCTCTACAGAAAATTACCTGGGAATGGTGGCATGTGCCTGTAGTCCCAGCTACTCCGGAGGCTGAGGTGGGATGTTGGCTTGAGCCCAGGAGGCAGAGGTTGCAGAGGAGGCAGTGGTGAGACAAGATGACATCACTGCAATCCAGCCTGGGTGGCAGAGCGAGACCCTGTCTCCAAAAAGGCAGAAACTGTCATACTGGATTGAAAACCACCACCACCACCAAATGCCAACTCTATGCTGTCTGCAAAAGTTACACTTAGGTTCACAAATCAGTTAGAAGTAAAGGATAAAAAATTAGCCATGCAAGTAGTAATCATAAGAAAGCTGGAGTGGCTATGTTAATATCACACACAAAATAGCTTTTTTTTTTTTTTTTTTGAGACAAAGTCTTGCTCTGTCTTCCAGGCTGCAGTGCAGTGGTGTGTTCTCACCTCACTGCAACCTCCACCTCCTGGATTCAAGCAATTCTCCTGCCTCAGCCTCCCAAGTAGCTGGGATTACAGGCGCCCACCACCGTGCCTGGCTAATTTTTGTATTTTTAGTAGAAACAAGGTTTCACCATATTGGCCAGGCTGGTCTTGAACTCCTGACGTCAAGTGATTTGGCCTCCCAAAAGGCTGGGATTACAGGTGTGAGCCACTGCACCGGGCACAAAGATAGACTTTAAGACAGAAGTATTACTAGAGACAAAAAACATTTAATACTGATAAAAGATCAATATACCAGGAAGACATAAAATTATAAAATGTATATGCACCTCACATCAAAGCCCCAAAATACCTAATGCAAAAAGTAATACAATCGAGTGTAAAAATTGACAATTCAATCATAATTGGAGGCCAGTCACAGTGGCTCATGCCTGTAATCCTAGCATTTTGGGAGGCTGAGATGGGTGGATCACCTGAGGTTAGGAGTTCACAACCAGTCTGACCAACATTGAGAAACCCTCTCTACTAAAAATACAAAATTAGCCGAGTGTGGTGATGCATGCCTGTAATCCCAGCTACTCGGGAGGCTGAGGCAGGAGAATAACTTGAATCCGGGAGGCGGAGGTAGCGGTGAGCCAAGATCGCACCATTGCACTCCAGCCTGGATGACAGAGCAAGACTCTCTCAAAAATAATAATAATTGGAGATTTCAATACCTTACCTTCCGTAATGACAGAACAACTATATAGAAAATCAGCAAGGATATAAAATAGTTGAACAACACTATTAATGTAGCTAAAATATATACCACACTCCACCCAATGACTGCAGATACATATTTTCAAGTGCACATGGAACAGTCTTCAGGATAGACCAATGCTAGGCCATTAAACAAGTCTCAATCAATTTAAAAGAATTTAAGGGCTGGGCACGGTGGCTCATGCCTGCAATCTCAGCACCTTGGGAGGCTGAGACGGGATTGCTTAAATCCCTGGGGGATTTTGAAACCAACCTTGGCAGCAAAGCATGATGCCATCTCTATAAAAAAAGAACATAAACCAGCCGGGCGCGGTGGCTCACCCCTGTAATCTCAGCACTCTGGGAGGCCGAGGCGGGCGGATCATGAGGTCAGAAGATTGAGACCATTCTGGCTAACATGGTGAAACCCTGTCTCTACTAAAAATACAAAACATTAGCCGGGCATGGTGGCGGGCGCCTGTAGTCGCAGCTACTCGGGAGGCTGAGGCAAGAGAACGGCCTGAACCCAGGAGGCGGAGCTTGCAGTGAGCCAATATCGCGCCACTGCACTCCAGCCTGGGCGACAGAGCAAGACTCCAAAAAAAAAAAAAATTAGCCAAGTTTAGTGGCAGGTGCCTGTAGTCCCAGCTACTTGAGAGGCTGAGGCAGGAGAATAGCTTGAACCTGAGAGGTGGAGGTTGCAGTGAGCCAAGATCGTGTCACTGCACTCCGGTCCAGAGACGGACTGAGACTCTGTCTCAAAAAAAAAAAAAAAAAAGCATATAAATCATACCAAGTATGTTTTCTAATCACATGGAATTGAATTAGAAATCAACAACAGGAAATCCAAGAAATACCCAGCTATTTGGAAATTAACATGCTTCTAAATAACCCATGGGTTAAATGAGTCACAAGAAAAATTTAAAAACATTCAGAATCAAACAAAACTGAAAACATCAAAATTTATGAATTACAGCTAGAGCAATGCTTCAGAGGATTTTTTTTTTTTTTTTTAATGGAGTCTTGCTTTGTCACTGCAATGGCATGCATGATCTTGGCTCACTGCAACCTCCACCTCCGGGTTCAAGTGATTCTCCAGTCTCAGCCTCCTGAATAGATGGGACTACAGGCGCCCACCACCATGGCCGGCTAGTTTTTGTGTTTTTAG